TAATGGTTTGTTTTACTATCCCCAGCCTGACTTAATTCATAAAATTAAAGAAATCACTTAAAGGCTTTTCACTATAGTTCCGTGATTATTGCCAATGCAGTGAGGTGTTTGTTCATCTGGTTTCTAAAGAAACATTGAGAAATGTGTCTGCATGGGATTAAGAAGAGTAATCCAGTTAGCAATAAGTGAAACCAAGATGCCAGGGCAGAATGTATTAAAACTCATCACTAATCATAATGGTCGATCATAATGGTTAAGTTCCAGAGGATCTTCATTTACTTAATTTACTTGGTTAATTTACAGATAAGGTGAACATTATTTTGAATCTGCTTATTTCATTTCATAGCAATTAAGAAAACGTAAATAAATGGAACTTTGGTGGTTTTAAAATCACCAGGCATTAGCACTGTGCTTCCATGGCTTCTTTAAATATATGCATTTAGTTATCATAGTAAACAAGTACTCATCTAGACCAATTCCATATTTCTAGGATTTACTTTTTTTTCTCTCAGTTATTTTGTGACACACCTAATTAAAATATACTGTTTGGTTCCTCCTTTGAATGTAATAAAACCCTGCCTTATTCTTTCTGTCAGTTTAATCCCTCTTTCTTTTCCATTGACACATTTCTAATACCTCTTCAGACAGGCCAGACACTGCTGCTTCATCTGTACCAAATCCACAACGCTTAACACCTTTTGACAAAATGGATACATCCTCCCTGTGGCTTGGAATTGATATATGCTGTCAAAAAGGGTTTTCCGAATGGTCTCTCTTTGTCACCTTTACCAGATTTTTATTCTCTGTTGTAGGAATGTGCAGTTTAATGTTGCGTTTCAAATCATTTTTGGCTGGAAAAGTGTGTAATGGAATCAGGGTGTCCCCTGAATACTCCTAACAGTAGGAGATGCCTCTTTGTTTTGAACACCAGAATCCCAATAGACCCTTCACAGCAGTGAAATTACACTTTTGACCTTGTTCACTAAAGTGTTTCTTTCTCTGTATGATTAAATGAGAGTAACTAACAATAGCTTCCTCTGAAATGTATGAATTTCCCTCTGTTTGTTTCTCTTAAGAACCTCAGAAAGGATGCTGGGCAATTCTCTGCTGATTGTATTCTCCACAAAAGAAAGAAAGAAAAAAAGAAGAAAAGCAGCCTTGCTTCTTCAGGGAGGGGTGGCTGTTTTATCCATATTAAAAATGCAAAAGTAATTGATGTATTGATATTTTCTCTACGCCAGTGTGTTGTTGCTACATCTCGAGTGTGAGAGCACCACTGCAACGCACAGACAGATTTTTACCCTTTAGTTGCTTCATTTCCCACATGTTTTAAGAGGGGATGTTTACTAAAGCACCAGATATTGTTTTAAAGTATCAAATATTAATATAGAAAATAAGCAAATACTGTTCTGGGTGAATGCTGAAATACTTAAAAGATCACTTTGTTGTGAAGTCGGTCTGTGAAGTTATATCAATCTAAAAGATAGATGCAGTATTTTATGTAGATTTGCATGCAGCCTTTTAAGCTCGTGTTTCTTTTCATTTGTGTGTGAGTTGGTGGACGTAGCCTGCTGCAGGCTGCACTGTGACTGTCAGCCCCATCTCACACACTGAAACATCGACGCATCAATTGCTCCACATATGGTTATTCAGAGCAGGGATTTGCTAAATCAGAAAATCCTCAAAGTGAGATGGCCAGAAAAGAGAAAATCAGATTTTGTTTTGTCCACTTTAGGCTACTTTGGCTGTGTTTTGGAGATATTTTTCAATGATTTCTTGTTTCCTGTGAATATTGACAAGCTCCACACTGGTGAATATGCTTTGTTTTGTGCAGTGTGCTCGTGTCTGTGAAATGCAAGTGCAGCCCTGCATTTTATGTGGTTGGAGACCCTGCACTGGATGGTTGAGTAACTAGATTCAAAAGAGGGGAGGGGACATAGTGAAATTCTTGTTTTCAGAAGGACTCAGAAAGTACATGACTTAAGCCTTCAGGGCATGGGTGCCATTATGAACAGGGTTTTTGCTCACCCTGATACGGTGCTACATGGAGAAGGCATCACAGCCACACAGCTTGGAGGGCAGCACACCCAAGGCTGTAGATCTGTGATTCCAGACCTTCTCTCCTGCAAAAAAACAAAACAAAACAAAAACACACACACAAAAAAGCAACCAACTTCTGTGCTTTTTTTATTACTTCTTCACTGCTGATGTAAACTGATGATTGGTGTGGCTCTGAAGTAACCTTGTCATCAAAAAATATTTTGTTGGTAGTTGACGTACTTGTTCCATACAAACATGAATCACACAGCTTCCTTTGGCAGGCTTGCCCTGTGGCCATGCTGTAATGTGTTTCACCACTGTGATTGAAATTAAAATGTCACCATTAAACATGGCAGTCAGATGCTCCCTGAGCACTGCATCTCTCCAAGTTCTCTGGCTTCCTATGTAGCTATTTCTGACAGTTTAATAAGGTGGCTTTATTCTGGTATAAAATAATATGTTCGTACTTCCACAGTGCGCAGGGAGTTAAATGCTTTCAGAGCACTATTTCATTACGTGCATACATCTTTCATGTGTGGCAGAAGCAACAACGCTCACATAACGTGGTGTTGCTTGTTAGTCCATTAGGAAGTGTAAAGTTAAAATGAATTGTCCTGCCGAACTGCATAGAGCTGCCGGAAAGCAGCTGCTGGGCTATTCCCTGCACCAGGCTCTCTTGGTGGGAGAAAGTAGTGGTGCAGGGCTCTGGAGACTGCTCCATGGGAAAAGCCTTCAGACTGTTCTTGACAGCTTTGCCGCTCCAGCTCCGTCATTGCCAGGTCACTGAAAGGGCAGTTCGGTCTCTGAGTCCAACTAGGGATTGATATGGTACCTCTTAAATCACAAAAACCCCACCGTGTGAGGCAGCTCCTGGGCCGGGCTTTCATGCCTGGCTTCTCTAGTGAGGCTGCCAACAAATATGTCCGTTTTTGTCATATATACAGTCAGAAATACCCCTTACTGTCATGAAACTACTAAGCAGCTGGCGTGGAAAGCTAACGAAACTGCTAACAGGATAACGAGCCCAGCAGAGATGCATTCGTACCACTGACCTGTATGTGTACATCTACATCCCTCCCGTTGCTAATATCTAGAGCTGTTTAACTCCTCAGATCAAATCATTTCACTCTTATGAACAGATGTAACTTTTGAATTGAATCAAGTCTAACTGCTGAAAACATGAATGAAAAACATAAAATTGAGGCTCTGTTTAATCAGCTATTAACATCACTGCCTTGTTTTCTCCCCACCCCCGCAAAGGTTTTCTTGTGCTGGGTTGTACTTCTCATCCCAGGTGGCTGCAATTTCTAGTGAAAATAAGTTGAGCCATGAAAGGTTGACCCACTCACCTCTGAATTGCTTTTTATATGATGTTAGTCCCTCAGGGCCCAATTCTACCCACAGAAGTGAGAATGATAGCTATCAACGTATATAGTAAGTATGTCAGTGTACACAAAGAAAAAGATGAACCCCAGACTTCAGTGGTCTTTAAAATACAGATTTTTCATAATGGTGATTAAAAAGGAAGCAAAGGATGATTAAAAAATTAGCTTGACACACTGAGCAGTTAAATCGATTACACTTCTTCTAGCACTGCTCAGACCCGAACCTCAGAACCACGTGAATCTCAGAAATGCGAGCAGTTCCTTTCCTCTGCAGTAATGCTCCTTCTATTTGCAATATTAGATGATCATTCAGAGACTGTGTTAGTCTAATATTATCTCCTGAACACTTGGGCAGTTAAACAGTGCCACTGAGTTTGCAAAGCTGGTTTGTGTCAGGGCTGCATTTTGACTTTAGAGCTTAAGTTTTCAGTGTTTGTATGCCTACCATAATTTTTGGATGCATTGTAGTGCCATCAGAATACCTGGCATAAAAGCAATACCAGCAAATTGATCAAATTATCAAGAGAAGTAAACTTGCATGTAAATGAGATTAGAAGATCACAGAAAGGAAATAATAAAAACATGTAGAAACTGGAATTCAAGTGCCAGTTACTTGCTTTATCTATGCTAAATTCTGTGCAGATTCATGAGGAGAGGTGGTTTGGTATGCTGCTATTACCCAAACAGTGAACTAATCAACTGATGGTTGAGAAACAGCTCCAAATCAGTATTAAGATCTCTGGGATGTTCATCCAGCTGTTTGAAAGCACCAGGCGTTACTACGCTTACGAAGCTGTGCAAATAATAAAGTAATATCATTTTGTGAGTGAATACATGACCAATAAATGCAGTAGAACACTGTATAAATTTTACCGCTCTGTGTTTCATGCAGGGAAATTACACCAGAGAAGGATCAAACCATATTTTGCAGGCAACTGAGCAGTTTAAGAGGCAACAGACAGGTGTTGGAGAACATTTCTTCTCTGCCATTTGCAGAAGTGCATGTGAAATCTCTCTACTGATCTATAGTCATTCCATTACCTGTCTGCTTCTGGCAGGTAGCTAGTTGAATTTGTGTTAAACAGGATTTTCTTTGCCATTTCCATTTGCTGTTGGAAAAGAAATGTTCTGACATGACATATGACCAATCAATAATTGGAAAGAGCTTGCTTTAGTCATTTGAAGCCAGTAGTATAGACAGTGTCAGCCCCAGCTGGGATTAAAACCTGCAAAGAGTAGTTCTGCAATCGCTGATTCTGCAGCATCTCCTCTGGGTGTCTACATTTCACTAATAAGGATGCCCAGCAGACATCAGCTGAAATAACACTTGCCTTTGTTGCTTGGATGTTTCTTTGTGCTCTGAAATAAATTCGGCATATACAAATATACTTTGTTATCCAGCCTAAAGGATGCACAGCAGGAATTGTTATCCCGTCTGTTGATAACTTCAGTAGGAAAGAAATTGCTTTATTTTACTATGACTCCAAAGAGAATAAGTGTCTTACAGTACCCCCTGGTTTTCTGGGTGTTTTTACGTTTTTCCCCTCTACTAACAATGCTTTATTACTCCTGCAGGGCTATAATCATCCGAAACGGTGAAGTCATTCCAATGTCTTCAGAATTCACTCCAGAGACCGAACGCCAGAGACTTCAGTATCTGGTAAGAGACTGGAGAACCAGATCAGGCATTGCTGCTGATGAGCATTGCCCAGGAATGTCTGAGTTTCAGACCCACATGGTTGAGTTACTGTGGCTCAGTGGAGGACCACATGTCTGCTGAACACCAATGACTGATTATGTATGTAAATGTGTTTCGCCATCAGCAAAAGTGCAGAAAAGCTTGGCAATGCAAATACTGATGAAAGGAGTCTTACCTTTTTTGTAGAGGCCATTGGTTCACGTGTCTGTGCTTCTGTACCTTGTTCAGCTGCTGACCTTCAGCAGCTTATTGGTGCTGGATAACGAGAGCTCAGACACACAGCTTACAAGCCACAGAGGTATTTCAGTACATCCCAGTGTTTCAGTACATCCCAGTGTTTACTTTGTGACAGTATAAAGTACATAAGAGTGCTCTTTGCACACATGTGAACAATATTGTTGAGTTTTATTCATTTGCTGTAATAGTATGCCAGTTGAGCTAGCTTGGGGAAAAGATGTCTGTCTTAGAGGTGATCTGAGTGAGCGTTAGTAGCTGCAGCGTAGGGTAGGTGAAGAAAGACTTATTTGCTGTAGCAACAGCCATACAGCTGTGACAGTATAACTGCCCAAGAAGATGCAGGATGCTTTATACATCAAGTCATGTTGGCCAACAAGCTGCCTAAGAAACATAAATGCATGATGTTATTTTTTATGCAAATGATCATGTTGTTTTTTGAGTTTTTCGCTGGCTTTCAGATCAGTTGGTTGGAGTTCATTGGCTGTTCATCAAAAGGCTATTCTTAATGTGTCTGAGAGATTTATTTTCTGCTTCCTCTGATCTCCTGCTTTTTTCCACTAGAAACTCAAGAATAAGACAAAACAGTGTCACTATTTGCATTTTCTGAAGCAGGATGGACAGGCCAAGGCTGGAGGCATTCCTTGTTCTTCATGCATCTGTTTTCTTTAGTCTGACTCAAGAGTTTGAAACTAAGTAAAATGCCAATGGTTGAAGGGGTGGTGGTGGAGGATTTTAAAGGAAATGCAAATGTTTCCACAACCATCACATTTGATTTTTAGTCGGGTTCACTGGCTTGGAGCTGAAAATTTCAGAGGAAATGCTACTTTAGGAATATTCATATTCAGAGAACCAAATGGAAAAGAGGCCTAATAAATATTTACACTCTTGTTACATTTAAAATAATTTGTTTGCCTTTAAAATAAAAAGGTATCTTTAGTATCTAGGAAGTCCTGTGCTTCTGTAGGAAATACGAGATAAAACATTGCCTACAAGGGATCTTTTTCTCTTTTGATGTCCTTTCTGGCTTGTATTTGAAAACAGGAGCTGATCTGAAAAGCATTTCTTCTGTTTCTTTTGGAAATTTCTTTACCTTTGTTTGTTTATTTTGTTCCAGTATGTAACAAATATACCAGGGCTATGGGTATAATGTTCAAAGAAAATACGTGCAAGACAGCAAGAGCATGAAACAAAATTAGAGATAATTTCAAGTATAACATTTCATAAGTAACATACGTTAGCATTAAAAAAAAAACCAACAACAAACAACCAAATTCCTTACAAGGCTGATATAAACGTTACACTCTGAAGTGATTTCACTCTCTACTTTTGCATCTGTCCCTGTTGATTAGATCCCAATTTACTCATCACCGTGGGCTGTCCCCTGATTCTTCTGTTTTTCTGCTTTATTCGTATCTTTTGTTGTTCCTATCTGAAACTTACTTGCTTTGGATTTATTTTCTTATTTCAGCTGAAGTTAAGTTTCTCTGTTCCAAACATATGGAACCGTTCTTCTTGAACAATAGAAAGTCAGTTAATCATTTTAGCATAAATATTTTACCTAGTAAATGCAGGGGTGATGTTTCAGCTCAGGACTGTCTATGCTGAGAAGTTGTTGCAAAGGCAAATGGAAGGTGTGAATTTATGGCAGGCAAGTTACTGACTATTGGCTGCCTGTGAAGATTCTTTTAGTGTCGTCAGAGTGGGGAAGCCTTCATCTGCCTTTAGAACCTGTTGATTACCTTGGCCACACAGGACGTTAGTTTAGGTTAACTGATGTCTTCTGCATTCATCCTCTGTCTTCAGGGCCTTAGCTTCCATACATAAAGAAATCTGCAGGAAAAGGACCTGTTTAGGCCATGTAAAATTTATTGCATGAAGTCCTCCAGCCCAGTCTTAGCTACAATTGTGTTCCAAATAGCAGTGAAAAAGTAGGGGAAAAACAAATGCTTTCTGTACCTAGGTCATATTTTAATGCAGTTTTATTGCTGTGTATCCAAGAGTGACCTCCAGGCCTCGGTCATGGCAGGTTCAAAAGAACAAATTCACTAACCAGTCATTCTGGACATCGCACAGCTCCACAGGGCCTCCCGCAGGCTTCCAGCAGGCTACATGAATATGGGTGAGGTGGAAACAGACTTTGCACCAGGGAGCTTACAAAGATGTTGCACAGGAAGGCAGTCCTTCAGTCAGAGGGCTCTCCTTAAAGAGATCCTTAAAGTCTTGAAGGCCTTACACAAGTATCCACTTGACTCTTTGGCTTCCCAAAGTGGGTCAGGGCTCACACTGTTTCCCCTTCACTAGCATGCTTTCACAAATCTCCTTTGGTTTTGAATTTTGCTTTCTATCTTTTCCATTCAGCATCCTGGCAGGATATCTTATACAGTGCCTACTCTAGTAAGGCTCTGGCTTCCTGTATCAGTGTATCCTGAAGGAGAACTCAATCCACTATTGACTGGGAACTGCTCTGGGGTGTGCACCAGTTGTGTGGGCAAATATTTTGAGAAACAATTTTTCTTCTGTCTTCTGAGGAGACTATTAATTTCAGTCACGACAGTACAACCTGCAGTATTAAATTGTATAGATTTTGTTACTTATTCCCTCAGAAAACATGGGTACTCTATGTTTGGCACCACATGAGCAAAGAGAATGGACAGGTGTGAGCTCAAAGAGAACTTGTTCTTATTTCATTGTCCAGGTGAGGGCTGAGTAATTGGGGAACAGGAAGAGGTGGTGAACCTGGATATCCCAAATGTCAGTTTAGTCCCTAAGTTACAAGACAGATGTGACGTAATTCTCTAACAATTCATGCGGCATATCACTGCTTTGACCATCTGTTGCACTGCATGATGCTGAGGTAAAAAAGGTCCTGTCTTTTTGTAACAAAGGGAGGACCAATCCAGGGATGGATTCATCTTCTACTTCCTTTCTTTCTTCTACCCCCACCTGCTTTGGTTATCTCTGTTTGGCTTAAATGTGAACCTGGCTATATGTGACAACTGGATGCATTGTGCAGTGCATGCTGTTATGGGAGGTATTCTCAGGTAGTAAAACATCCTCTTGGAGAAAATGACATGATACAATAAGAATACTATCGTAAGGTATGGTTGACACATGGAAAAACATGTACAGAAATACCAAACAGTGCGGCAGAACTGCTAGTTGCCACATCAGCTGTGGAGGAGCTGAACAGGGCATCGGCAGATGTGGGAGTAGAGTGGAGGAAAGAGACTTGCAAGGTACAATAAGGTATGCACGATGTTCTCTACCACCTAATTAACGAGCGCACTAGTGCGTAAGTCTGGGTTTATCTTAATTTCGTATTTGCTTTGCTGAACACTGGGAAACACAGCAGGAAGTAAATGGCCTTTTGAAAGAAACGTGACTAATATTTCCCTGAACAGACTCCATTTCATGCAGCTAATGTTGAATGTAAAACATCCAGCCACAAAATACACCATAAAATGGCTGAGTACCAAACATATGATACAAACCGTGCCAGATTTATGCCAAAAAAACTGTAGCAGCTTCTGAAAGAAAAATGATGGAAAATATTCCTGTTTCGTAACACGGAATAACAATGTTGTCTGAACATGCCTCATAAGGATACAGAAACTGTTTGATAGTCACTGTTTTTATTACATTTTAAGTTCCCTGAATGATGTTTCTAATCTGAGGTTCTTACAAATCGTGACTAAACAAATGAAAAATTAAAATGTGATGTCTCATCATAGCTGAAATTCTGGTACTTAGCTTGTGCTTATGTTGTTTTTTGTTTTTTGTTTTTTGTTTTTAATCTGTTCAAGGGATTTCTTAGTGTCTGTAAAGCTGCTTGAGAAAACTGCAGATTTTTGAAGAAGTGCTTTCATTTATTCTTTGGCTCAGCATAGTTTGGTAGGGGTGGAAAGGCAGAAGAACCCTGCCTTCTAGTAAATGGAGAACAGTTCTCAACAAACTCAACTGAAAGTCATAGCTGTACTCTTTTCTCTATAGAATTACAATGAAGCATCAAGAACAACTGTTAAAAAAAAAATGAAAAAAAAAAATATCACCTATACTGCCTACCTCCCCCCACAAAAAAAAGAAAAAAAAGAAAAAAAAGAAAAAAAAATTATTCACATAAAAATTCGGCTCACGGCACCAGAAGCTTCCAAATTGCTCTTTTCCCCCTGTTCCAGTGATGCCAAAAATATTAGAATCAAGTTAAGATCCCTAGATTGTAAATCAAGCATTGAGGCTTGGCTGCGGAAGAGAAATCTTATTTGAACATTAGCAGTCCTGTGGTAACTCTGCCAGCTTTATTAATCTTATTTCACTTGTGACCTCAGACTTTCCATCTGAGTAAATCTTTATGAAATGCAGTCTCTCCCAATTGCTTTCCCTTTTCAATAAAGGAAATTCTTGTTTTCAAGGGGAAAAATGCTAAAAGCCTGTAAGTTTATTTCTTCTAAACCCATGATCCGGCCTAATAAGTAATCTCATAATCTAAGAGTTGAATATCTCTGTTTTCATTTCAGGTCTTGGAGGTTTTTGCTTTCAGTAAGTCTTTTTTCACAGATAGGTAACACTAGACTTTACCTAGAAGTACTTCGTAATGATTTAATCAAGATAGGCTATTTATCTTCACAAGTGAACTGAATTGCACTTTCTAAACATACTGTTGAGTTTATAAAATCATAGACTAGGAAGAACAAATAAGACAAAAAAAATGCTATGTGTAAAATACAGAAATCATTAGGGGTGTTTCAACTTCTTTCCAACTTGAACAAAAATAAATACAAACTTTACATGCATTTTTATATAAAGAATCCTGAGTTCTGGAAGTATGGAAAGCCTCATCTCATCTAACATTGCTTGGCAACTCATAAGTCAGTTCTGCTCCTCAGACATTTCTGTACTGAGTAGCAGCAATCCAATTAGATGGCCATAGAAGTTTAGGTGCAGAAGGAAACCTTGGATGCCTGTAGATTGCAGGAGAAAAAAATGTAATTCCCTGAACTGTGCAGAGTGAATCTGATGGAGCTCCCATTTCAGGAAGGGATCACAATGTCAAGATCATACTCATGTGCTTAAAAGCTGCCTCTTGAAAGCAGAATCCAATCTTGTCAGCTGCACAGAGCATCTCCTTCAGTCCTGTCTCAGCTGAGCTGGGAGGTGTTCTGTTGAAAGGATGCCTGGCAAAGGGAGCAGGGGCAGACTGATTGACGGTTAGCACTGGGATGTACTGAGCCTGATCCAACTCCTATTAAATTGAGTGGGAGCAGATTCAGCCCTTAAATGCAGGAAATATTTTACTATGAACTATCTGTATGATAGCAGCCAGGTAGATCAATAAGGGCTTCCGCTGCTTCCTGCTGCTCACCTTTGATGAGTGCTAGATTTATGACAAACCCAGCAACTAAAGCCAGCTCATTTGATCTGCCCTGACGGCAACTGCTGCTGAAGATAAGACAGACGTTATTGCCTTAACTGTCTGGATAAAGAAAAAAAGATACCTGCAGAAAGGTTAAGAAATGCAACTCTTTTTGTTCCCTAGCCAATTTGTCTATATCTTCAAAAAAATTCACAGTGTGGCTTTGGTTGTGAGAAAAGGATTGTTTATCCATAGTTTATTTCTAAAGGAAAAAATATGGTACATCTAAGGATAACCCGTCAGGTGATCTGTGTACGAAGTGTGCAGTGGACAAAGCTGAAGTTGCCTCATGGTGTTCTCAAGCACAGTCATCTGTGACATGCTCAAGCCTTGGGCTTGGTGGAGCCAACTTGAGTTCTTCTCCTCATGTACCCCCTCCAAGTCTTTACTTGCTCAGTGGCTTTGACTGCTCCGTTCTTTTGAGTCATCAGTCTGCAGAAGGAGACGTTCTGCTTTATGAAACCCTGCAGACTCCTTCAAGGTCAGTGGGTGAAGAATGCTTTAGAGATCACAGACAGTGAGCAGGGGTGAGAAGGAATGAAAAGTTTTGAGGAAGAGAGGGCTGCTCCATGTAAGACCACTACCAGATTCCAGGTAGTATATGGGAACTAGTGTATGTGCACCTTGCTGGAGCAAAGCTTGTTGTTTTCCTTGTTTGAAAAGGAGGGAAAAGGAAAAGAAAAAATAAAAAGTGTGTGGGAAGGGAGTGAGAAGGGATAGTAGTGCTGCCTCAGTAATAACAGAGGATGTTTTATAATCTTCATGTGGTATCTGTGGCTTGATTTTACCCACAGGCTTACATGCAGCCCCACTTGCTGGGAAATGAATTCACACATTTAGAGTTTCCACGGAGGGTGCAGCGCAAGGAAGTTGGAAAGAGGATGCTTTACCGTGACTTCAACATGACTGGCTGGTAAGGATGTGCCCTTCTCAGCAAGAAGTCAGCCTTTTCCCCAGCATATGCCTGCTTTGTACACATCTGTGAGTAAACTGCATCAAAGGTGGAAATGTACACCTTTGTATTATAAAGAAAGGTATTTTCATCTTTCAGATATATTTTTCTTTTAGAAATTTAACATTTAAAATGAGTTGACCTGCCTCCACAGCCCGGACCACAGATCATTTTAGCACATGAGCAACTCAAAGCAGAGAAAACTCTCAAAAGGGTAGATAGTATTCCTGAAAGACAGATAAACAACTTTCCTATCTTGCAAATAACTTCTTATAGAATCTGGATCAGTGGGTGACCATTCCTTTGCATGCAGTGCTTGCAGAAGGAAAGGGCTGCTTCCCATGCTCCACTGCAGCTAACACCTCATTTGGGTAACCCTTGAGGGCCTGTACAAATAAAAGTTGTAGTCATCCTAAAATGAAAGATTTGAATGAACAGCACTGACTTGATGAGGTGAAGACAGAAAGAGTGATGAGTTTTTTGTCATTAGACAAACCTAATGTTTCTTTCTTTGTCTCTGTCAGTGTCTTCATTGTTTTGTGTCAGTTCAAGAGGCTCTTTCTCAAGTGACTCTCACTCAGAAAAGTCCAATTCCTTGTCATTGAGTACTGTGTATGTGACATATAAAAGCAAATGTCTTATATATGCAAATGGCTTTTGCTTCTCTGCTTTGTGTTTTAGCAACCTAAGAAAATGTTCTTTGAGTAGAGGAAGGGATGGAGAGGGTAAAAAAAGCCTGAGCTCTTGTAGATTTGGAGACTTGCACGCACAAGTACAGCTCCACATGCTTCTGATTGTCCCATGCTTTGTAGACCGTAAATATAATGATATTTTAATGGCAGAGTAATAACCTAAGTTTATTATTATAATCTGGAGTGTTTGTACTGTACAGAAAATATTAATCTGGGAATACTCATAATTGTCCATCAGCTTGAACAGATGCTAGTAGAAATATGCAATCCTTTCCTGAAAATAGTGGCTGCACATTTTGAAAAGGCTGCAGGCAAGAGCAAAAGAATAGGAACAAAATGAGAACATTGGCCCAACTGAGGCTGAACAGTAAAATATTTGAAAGACTCTCAGTTTCTGCAAAGGGAGATTTTTCTTGTTAAGTACATTGATCTCTGAAGCATCAGAAAGGAATGGCTTCATGTAGACTTCTAAAAGATTTTTCAAGATGTGAGATGCAACTTGGAGGAGGGGGGGAAGCCAAATCACACAATAAATATTGTGGAGAGGTATGTAAGTATCTCCAAAAAGGAGGGTAGGAGCAGAGTTATTTAACTGGTTGAAAGATAAAGAGAGTTTCCCCAGATTCATAGGATTTGTTTGGATTTTCCCCGGTCGGTTAGAGGTCTGGAAAGGAAATACAGTTAGAATGACTGAACTTGCAGTATTTGCAGGTGATACAGCTCTTCTATTAATAAACAAAAAAGGGCTCTGAGGAACTGTGAAGGATTAAATGATTTACATGAATGGGCATCACAGCGATCAAATTTGGTGTTGATAAATACGAAGAAAAGGATGAAAAATAACTGCTTTTTGAAAGTAGGAACAGCAAGAGCTGTTTCAAACACCACAGTGAGAGTCCTACTTACAGTGTTTGGGGGTTTTTTTTGCAGTAAAAATCACAAGCAGGATGCTGGGATGCATACAACATTGGAATGGTTAAAAATTAAACAAAGGGATAAGTCTGCATATTGGTTTGTTCCTTGCTTGTGAATATGTGCATAGCACTTCACCTTATTCAGAATGGTTATTGCATAGCTAGCTTGGCTTTAGAAGAAAGATAAATAAGAAGGAACATGTTTTATATGTAGAATAGCAAGTAGAAGATATTGGATAAGTCTAAACTGATTGCAGATTTGTTTTGATGTATTGTATTTCAGTACTGGTGTGTGAACTCCGTTAACTCTAGCATATGGCAGGGGGGAGAAATGAGTTGATTTTCCTGGTGATTTCTTTGAATTTCTCTGAATTTCCTGAAGTGTGGGACACACATTGATCCAGTTACTGATTCTAATGTGGTCAGTGCAAAGATTACCACTGGTTTATCACAAATACGCTTAGCTGTAAGTAGTTGTTCTGGAACAAATACAAAAATTGTGATGCTTGAAAATTGAAGTCTGAATTTACCTCTGTGTTTTCCCAGAAAGGGGTGGCTTGTGCCAAGCAAAAGCATGTGGAGACTGTGATGATACTATCTCTCCCTGCTGTTCCTTTTGACTTCTAGCTGGAAGTGGAAAATGGGGGCTGCATTTTTGTCCTGAGTCAAAGAATCTGAGTCTCTTAGCTGTTCTGTACCCCACAGCTAGAGTACATATTGCCTCCTTCTTTTTTTGCTTCAGGACAATGAAATGGTGAGGGAACTGCTCTATTGTTGTAGCATTTATGGAAGTCAGAGTCCTTTTAAATAAGGATTTATTTCTTTTCTCAGGGTGCTTTCCCAAGGATGTCTTGTTTTCCATTGAATTACATGCAGTCATCTCCTAAGCTGAGGAAATGCAATCTGCTTCTATTTATCCAAAATCTGGGTCACTCTCAGTGGCTGAGGCTGTGGACAAGGTGTGAGATTTCCACCTTGAAGGCTCCTCAGAGGCGATGGTTTGAGGTGGCTGACATTTCACTGATTCTTTTCCACCTCAAGAGTCTTGCTCCTGTTTTCTTCCCCTTCTAATCCTTCAAATTAATTGATGCATCAGGACATGGCAGCCAAGGACATGTGTTCTCATATCTGTTCTCCATTTGTTTCTAAGGCCAGTATCTATCATGGAAAATAAATTAGCATATACATTTCTTTTCTAGAAAACGTCAGATGGTGCTTTGGCCAGCCAAAGCCTGGTTTGCTAAAGTGTTGCCAAACCTTTATCACTTAAGATGCAGATCAATTGTCTGAATCTTTTTTTGGTTGGTGATTTCACTGTGTGTTGACATTTGCATGTACCCGAAGAGAGGTGCAGGTGATGTCAGGAAGAAACAGCCTCACACTTACTGCCTCCTTTAGTGGGAGGGTGTAAAACTCCGCTCTGGTGTTTCCTCAGGAAAATGAACTGTTTTACTTTAAAATTCAGGACATTTTTCTGTGTTTTCTATTAGAAGTTGTATGATTTTTTAATTTTTTCTTTTTTCTTTTTTTTTTACCCTTCTCCTGTGCACTGGAGCCTTTCAGATTCTCAACAATGGATTGGCTTGCCCAGCTCATTTGGATTACAGAAAGTTATTGTCTTTCGGTCTGTCATAATGCATTTGGCCTTTTCTTTTCTTTTCTTTTTTTTATTTTTTTTTTCCCTGTGAAGTTTCCACACTGGCTTTGTCTCAGCTGCCCACAGTGGTAGTAGAGCTGCCAAGTTTCCCTGCAGCATTAGGACAACCACTGATCCAGCAATGTGTGCTACATCACTAGTCCAGGCTGCCTATAACTGCCCTGACACCGGCATTTCTCTTCCGCCTCCATTTCTCTTTCACTCCTTGCCTTTTTTCCCTTTTCTCCAGTGGGATGAGAAATCTGCTTCATTAAATGTATATAAAATGAATCCCATCTAGGTTGAAGCTGGCCACGAGCTGCTCCTCCTGCACCCTCACCCCCCACACATCATGATGGAGCAGCCATCGCAGAAAGCGTTCTGTAGCTGGCAAAGCATCTTAAGAGCTGTGTCTCCTGCTGAACAAGCCTCCAAGCTGTCTCGAGCTGTAATTTGCTGGCAGACATCTGTGTTACTAACAGTCTTTCACAGCTGGATCTCTGGTCTGGGGTTTGTAGACCGCGGCTTGCCGAGGTTAAGCTTGAATCAGAAAGGGTACTTCTGGTGACATGGACACGTCCTGGCAATAGAAGCTTCGGGGAGGACTCTGGCCACAAGAGCAAAGTGCTGCCAATGCTAAAAGAGGTAGAAATAAATGGGGAAGAGGCGTGCCTGGTGAGAACTGTGCTCCTTTTAAGGACTGCACACAGTGAGTGTTTTCCATCTCCTCCTTTTATTTAGCATTTAAGACACGGTTGGCAGGCTTTTCTTTACATGTGGGTAAATCAGGGAGAAAATTCTGCTTTGCTCTGAATGCATCTCAGGCATCATCTCCAAACCTGCTTGGTGCTGTTCTGGCTTACTGTGCCCCTTACGGCACACAGGCACATGGAGCTGTTTCGTCCAGTGTGCCCTGTCAGCCTCCTTGCAGCCTTACAGCGTTGAGTTTAACCAGAGGTATCTAGAAGGCACTACACATTGGCATCAGCCTTTGTGTTTTCAAAATTAACCTCTTGCTTCTCCTCAGAACATAAACAGTGGCCTTTCTAGTGTTTGCATTAAAGCAGGATTTGTTGAATGCTTGTTTTCAGATCAAAGCTCTAGCTTTTTGACTCAATAAATTTCAGCAGCAAAAGATCCTGGACAAAAAAATCTGGTTTCAGTCCTGACGTGTTCCTGACTTCCTTTACCCTCCAGATCTGCACACAGTTGTGTTGGACCCATACAGAGCGGTTCGACCCAGTGCAGCCCCAGCCATGCCATTGGGGCTGGAGCCCCAGAGCACAGTGAGCTGAAGGGCTGTGTGCTGCACCTGAGTGTGCCCATTGACGGTACCTGCAGGGCACCACTGGCTCCGTTCTGGTGAGGTTTTGTCACAGTGCATGACCTGGGGATGCACTATGCTTGTGATTGATTCCAAGGCAGAGGCTGGTGCCCAGGGGCTAGCACTGAGCAAAACCTATTTTATTCTAGAGTCAATATTGGCCACTTCCTGGCAAGCTGCCAGCCTATTCTGTGCTCGCCCTTTTCTTTTCCAACAGGGAATGTCTTTCAGCCTCCGAGCATCTGATTGAAAAAGCAACTTCACTTTTCAAGCCATTTTATATTGTTTGGGGTGGATGCCTTTCGCTTTCATTGCACAGCCTGCTTTGCAGTCTGCGGTTCAGTCTCCGGCTCACAAAAAACCAGTGTCTCATTAATCACTTATTGGGGATCCAG